CACATCCTCATCCTCATCCTGATCCTCACCCTCATCCTCATCCTCATCCATCATCCTCCTCGTTCGATCTCGTCCTCCTCCTCCTCCTCCTCCTCCTCCCTCCTCCTCCTCCTCCTCCTCCCTCCTCCTCCTCCTCCTCCTCCTACTCCTCCTCATCCTCCTCGTACCCCACCCCATCCTCCTCCTCCTCGTTCCCCTCTCCCTCCCAGGAGCGCACGAAGAATGACAGAGCAGAGACGGCCCACGAGCAGATTGCGCGGCCGCCCACTGAACGAGGGAAGAGCGGTGCGCGCAGCAGCGAGGGAGGAGACGGCGGATCTACGCCCTCGACACCGTGACCTCCTCACGGCGTGGCCCCCCCAGGAAAACCCGACCCCCCATCCTGGCCAGGACCGACTGCCCTCGAGACGGATATCGCCCTGCTGCGGACCCCGCGGCCCCCAGAGAACAGTCCCGAGCGGAAGAGCTGACGCGCCGGCTCTCACCGAGACTCTGGAGACCCGGACACGAGGCGGGTCGAGCACGCGCCAGCATGGAATGCGGATGCACGAGGCCAATGCCGCCTGATCGGGCGACGGAGCGCGCCGCTTCTGTGCGGAGACGGGACCCGTCGCTGATCCACAATCCTCAATAGAGGCCTCCCAGATGGGGCCCGAGCAGATGGGAACGGACGATCGCGCCGCAGCGCCACTGCATCGCCAGTGCATCGGCAATGTATCGGCATCGAGCCGCATCGGCGATGCATCGGCGGTGCGGCGCGATCCTCCGACCCCAGCTGCTCCGTCCCCATCTGGGAGGCCTGGACTCGATCCCAATCCGTCTACGCGCTTCCTGGAGTGGGGGGAGCTTTCCCGCCCTGACGCCCCCACCCCCCCCGCCCCCTACGTAGGCGGGCGCGATGCTCGTTCTCCGCGCAGCGCCCTCCCGCCGGACACCAGCGCCTCGGGCGCTCGAGCGGCACGCGGGGTCCTTCGAACTGCTGGAAGGGCCGCGCCGTGCGTCAGTCGGCTGGGCACCTCGTCCTTCCCCGCCTCATCACCCCTGCTCCACGTTGGTTTGTCTCTCTCTCTCTCTCTCTCTCTCTCTTTCGTATTCTCACGCTCTCTTTGTCTCATCTCTCTCTCTCTCTCGTCCCGTCCTTCGCTTCTGCTTTCCAGTCGGTTTGTTTTCTTCGACCGCGCCAAGGGGGAGGTCTCGTTTTCGCCACCCCTGCCATTCACACACGGCTCCTCCCGCCGCAAGAGGTGCGGGCAGAAGGTGCTGGCAGCCTCCGACCGCGGACGGACCTTGGCGCGCCCTCATCGGTGCGTCTTCTCTCTCTCTCTCGCCCTCTCTATCGATATAATCCTCCACTGCCCCCCCCTCCGCAGCTCCCCTACCAGTTTCTTCTCGCGCCCCTGCCCTTCCCCTCCCCCTTGCCAGCCGTGGGAGAGGAGGATAAGGAGGAGGAGGAGGAGCAGGAGGAGGAGGAGAAGGAAGAAGAGAAGGGGGAAAAGGAGGAGGAGGAGGAGGAGGAGGAGGAGGAGGAGGAGGAGGAGGGGGGAGGAGGAAGGAGGAGGAGGAAGAGGAGGAGGAGGAGGAGGAGGAGGAGGAGGAGGAGGAGGAGGAGGAGGAGGAAGTGGAGGAGGAGGAGAGAGGAGGAGGAGAAGAGGAGGAGGAGAGGAGGAGGAGGAGGAGGAGGAGGAGGAGGAGGAGGAGAGGAGGAGGAGGAGGAGGAGGAGGAGGAGGAGGGGAGGGGAAGAGGAGGAGGAGGAGAAGGAGGAGGAGAAGGAGGAGGAGGAGGAGGAGGAGGAGGGGAAGGGGTAGGGGGAGAAGAAAGAGGAGGAGAAAGATAAGGAGGCACGGGCGGACACACGGACGGAGAGCGGGAGAGAGGACGTAGGAGAAGAATGAGGAGCATGATGACGGGGAGGGGTAGGGGGTACCCCTTCCACAACACAAAACAACAGACACACTGAATATTAGTCCTGCTGTGCCTCCTCATCCTTCTCCTCCTCCTCTTCCTCCTCCTCCTCCTCCTCATCATCAGCATCGTCAGCATCATTATCATCTTCATCCTCATCCTCATCCTCATCCTCCTTCTCATCCTCCTCCTCAGCATCATCATCACGAGCAGCATCGTCATCATCATCATCATCACCACCACACTCATCCTCATCCTCATCCTCATCATCATCATCATCATCATCATCATCAGCAGCAGCAGCAGCAGCAGGGGAAGAGAGTTCATCCTAATGGTGAAATCAGACACCACGCAAAAACACCACGCAAATACACCACGCAAAAACACTACGCAAAAACACCACGCGAACGCTGGAGGGTGAATTAGACATCACGCAAATACACCACGCAAAAACACCACGCAAAAACACCACGTAGCGGTTTTGCGTGGTGTTTTTGCGTGGTGTTTTTGTGCGCCGCTGGGGCGGCGCGGGGACGCAGTGGGGCAGGTCGGTTCACGTGGTGTGTTTTTGCGCGGGTGGCGTAGCGCCGGGGACGCGTGGTGGCAGGTCGCGGTTCACGTGGTGTGCGCGTGGTGTTTTTGCGTGGTGTATTTGCGCGCACCGCTGTGGCGGCGCCGGAGCGCCGTGGGACAGGTCGCGGTTCACGTGGTGTGTTTTTGCGTGGTGTTTTTGCGTGGTGTATTTGCGTAGTGTATTTGGCGCCGCTGGGGCGGCGCGGGGACGCAGTGGGGCAGGTCGCGGTTCACGCGGCGTGTTTTTTTGTTCTGCGTGGTGTTTTTGCGTGGTGTATTTGCGTGGTGTTTTTGTGCGCCGCTGGGGCGGCGCGGGGACGCAGTGGGGAAGGTCGCGGTTCACGTGGTGCTTTTGCGTGGTGTTTTTGCGTGGTGTTTTTTTGCACCGCTGTGGCGGCGCCGGAGCGCCGTGGGACAGGTCGCGGTTCACGTGGTGTGTTTTTGCGTGGTGTTTTTGCGTGGTGTATTTGCGTAGTGTATTTGTGCGCCGCTGGGGCGGCGCGGGGACGCAGTGGGGCAGGTCGCGGTTCACGCGGCGTGTTTTTTTGTTCTGCGTGGTGTTTTTGCGTGGTGTATTTGCGTGGTGTTTTTGTGCGCCGCTGGGGCGGCGCGGGGACGCAGTGGGGAAGGTCGCGGTTCACGTGGTGCTTTTGCGTGGTGTTTTTGCGTGGTGTTTTTTTGCACCGCTGTGGCGGCGCCGGAGCGCCGTGGGACAGGTCGCGGTTCACGTGGTGTGTTTTTGCGTGGTGTTTTTGCGTGGTGTATTTGCGTAGTGTATTTGTGCGCCGCTGGGGCGGCGCGGGGACGCAGTGGGGCAGGTCGCGGTTCACGCGGCGTGTTTTTTTGTTCTGCGTGGTGTTTTTGCGTGGTGTATTTGCGTGGTGTTTTTGTGCGCCGCTGGGGCGGCGCGGGGACGCAGTGGGGAAGGTCGCGGTTCACGTGGTGCTTTTGCGTGGTGTTTTTGCGTGGTGTTTTTTTGCACCGCTGTGGCGGCGCCGGAGCGCCGTGGGACAGGTCGCGGTTCACGTGGTGTGTTTTTGCGTCGTGTTTTTGCGCGGTGTATTTGCGTAGTGTATTTGTGCGCCGCTGGGGCGGCGCGGGGACGCAGTGGGGCAGGTCGCGGTTCACGCGGCGTGTTTTTTTGTTCTGCGTGGTGTTTTTGCGTGGTGTATTTGCGTGGTGTTTTTGTGCGCCGCTGGGGCGGCGCGGGGACGCAGTGGGGAAGGTCGCGGTTCACGTGGTGCTTTTGCGTGGTGTTTTTGCGTGGTGTTTTTTGCACCGCTGTTGGGACGGTCGCGGTTCACGTGGTATTTGCGTGCGCCGCTGGGGCGGCGCGGGGACGCAGTGGGGCAGGTCGCGGTTCACGTTGTGTTTTTTTTTGCTATGCGTGGAGCGGCGCCAGGGCGCCCAGGGGCGCAGCTGGAGCGCCGCTGCAGTGCCGCTGCAACGCCCCTGGAGCGCAGTGGGGCAGGTCGCGGTTTACGTGGTGTTTTATACGTCGTCCTCCATGTCCTCCTCCTCACACATTTCCTCCTCCTCCTTCTCCTCCTCCTCCTCCTCCTCCTCCTCCTCCTCCTCCTCTCCTTTCAAAGATAGCGGCTGCACCCCTTCTTTGCTCCTGCGCTTCCCTGGCCACCTCAACCTGACCGGGCATCGTTTTTGGATGGGCCAGTGGCGCAGAGCGTCAAGAATCCAGCTCCTACGTCACAGCCGCCGTCATCGTCGCCGCCACTGCTGCCGACGCCGTCGCCGCGGCCGTCGTCGCACGGCCCTGGCAGGGCGGCCGAAGGCGGACGAGGGAGGGTGGAGGAGCCAGAGCAGCGCAAACAGCAGTGGGGGCAGGGGCAGCAGGGAGCAGCGCAAACGGCAGTGTTTGCGTGCGCCGCTGGAGCGGCGCCGGAGCGCCGTGGGGTGGGTCGCGGTTTACGTGGTGTTTTTGCGTGGTGTTTGCATGCGCCGCTGGAGCGGCGGTTTACGTGGTGTTTTTGCGTGGTGTATTTTATTTCACCATTAAGGTATTTTATTTCACCATTAGGGTATTCTATTTCACCATTAAGAAATTCGATTTCACCATTAAGATTTCTATTTCACCATTAAAACGCTTATTTCACCATTAGGAGAAACCGTTCAGCATCATTAGCATAATCATCCTCAGCATCCTCATCCTCATCCTCCTACTACTACTCCTCCTCCTCCTCCTCATCATCATCATCATGTTCATCATGATCTTCATCCTCATCATCAGCAGCAGCAGCATCTTCATCTTCATCATCATCATCATCATCATCATCATCATCATCATCATCATCATCATCATCATCATCATCATCATCATCACCATCACCATCACCATCACCATCACCATCACCATCACCATCACCATCACCATCATCATCATCATCATCATCATCATCATCATCATCATCATCATCATCATCATCATCATCATCATCATCATCATCATCATCATCATCATCATCCTCCTACACCGTACGAGTTCTGCCAGCCGACTAGGCGCGGGAGCCGGAGTCTTCTCGAAGGACCTGTCCGCGCCCCTGATCTCGCGCACGTCGGATGTCCACCTGTCCATGACCTGAGCCAGTTCACGACAGTTCCGGACGATTCTCTGATGGCTGCGGAAGAGCTGGGAGATTCTCAGCGGAGGAGCATTGGGCTTCCCAAGGTTTTCAGGGGCGTCTGCAAATTTCTGGATGAGGGGGAAAGTGGAGGGGAGAGAGGGCAGGAGGGAGGAGGGAGAGGGGAGGAGGGATGGAGGATGATAGAGCGGAAAAAGGGTTGGAGCGAGGGAGGGAGGAAAGTGCAGTGGGCAGCTGCAGTTGCAGTGGACTGCGCAGCAATCCTGTCAGAGGAAGAGGTTTAGGGGAGATTCTCGGGAGTTCTACTGAACTATGGGAGCGTGGCGGTTCTGAGAGGACCCTCGGAGAAGAGAAGGGAGGATGGTCTTGGAGCAAGATATCTGGGTCGACCTGGTAGCGGTGGGTTCAAAGGACCGTGGATCCCGAAGGCCCCTGCGAACACAGCATGCAAGAAAGGAGTCACGACCCTCAACCTACTATTTGTCCGAACCCGTACGTGGACCCCGAGAAACGCATCGCAAGGATCGGCTGGGTCTGGCAGCCCAAGCTTACGCTATCCGAGCTGCTCAGCCTCGCTCTTTGCCCAACGGCCGCGACCCCTGGAGCGGCGGGTGGATGTCCCGCGCTTTGCATCCAGAGGGGATCGGCCGGAGCCTGACGACGAGGCACCCGTGAGGTACATCGTGGCGAGGGCCTGGCCAAACGGCGCGCCACCGCCGGCGCCGTCGCAACCAGGCTCGGCCGCTGGACACTCTGGGGGTACCGCCGCCAGGGGCAGGTGCCACGAGGCACGGTCAGGCCCTTGGCGTCCCGCATCGGCACGTCCTGTGCGGACTCAAGTCTGGCTGGCTTGGCTGGCCGGTCTGGACGGTGTTGTGGCGTGTGCAGCAGGCGTGTCGTACAGATTGCCAGTCGGGGCCGTGTGGAGTGGTGCAGTGGCCATTGGACGACACGAGCGGCATCTGCCGGGCTCAAAGACATGAACGGCAGGGCTTGGCGCAGCTGGCAAGGCTGTGGACCGGCGAAGGAGTGGGGAAGGACCGATTGACAAAGAGCCACAAGCGAGAACGGCCAAGGAGGGAAGAACAGGGAAGCGGAGTGGCTGAACTGCGGATTTCGTGAATGTCCAAAGCGACTCGAGTCCCAAACGAGCTCGCCGCACTCGCTGTGCATCCGACGAACTCCTTGGTTAGTCCAGAGGGGCAGTGGTGAAACAAGTTGTTGCCATCACGTGCCAATACCAGTCTTGGTTGAACTTGATGCTTTCGATCTGTGCATGAGGACGTGCTATGATAATGGCTTCATTCCCTGATGGCTCCCTCTGTGATCTCACTTTCGTCGGAACGAATCCTGGTGAAGTGGCATGCGGGCCTGTCCGGCTGGCGGTGAGTTGCGGAGCGGAAAATCAAATGGCGGTCGCAAAAGCGGCAGGCGCTCCTCAATAACCCCTCCGACTGCAGATCGTGACAAGCTCACCCAGCGCTTCGGTCGTGGCTGGACTGGCAGTGAATGAGGGAGGCTTGAGCTTGGTCATGGCTTGGCGGCGCTTGGCTGGCTGGGCTTCGTTTGGAATTAACAAGGCGATGAGGTTCCCGTCGTTGTAGGGAGGGGCGTCGGTGATACCGTCATCGCATTCGTTGACATTTGGCGGGGTCGCATGCGCAGGCGTGAAGCTCCAGATGAGCAGCCAGTGCTTCTGGGGGGTGGGGTCGGCAAAAGGCACTGCCCCTCTGGTGTCCAAATGTATCTATCCGCGTCGTAGATAAGCGGGTGCCGCGCTGGAGGCGGCTGCATTGAGGTCAATGTCTGGTGCATATGGGTCTGCACTGAGTGCGAGAATTCTTGATCGTCTGGTTCCGCTGCACTCATCATGGCGTCATTGTTTGAGCCTGAAACGACACAGTTGGTGCAATCTACATTCTGCTTCCATACTGACTTTCGCATTCGTCGCAAGTCAAAACTCCAGGTGGCAGCACAACTGATGGCAGCATACCTTGACTGGGCGTCGCTGATGCGGGCGCGACAGTACCACGGCTGTCCACTGCACGGACTCTCTGAACAACTTCGTTCATGGCTGTATCACGCTAATGCGGAATATCAGCGGCGCAGGCGGCATCAACGGGCACAAGCCGTGCGGGCAACGTCAGCGAGTTGGCAGTGTCAATCGTCCACCGTGCACCCTAAGCACGTGGAAGCGTGGACGACTGGAATTGCTGTCTGGCAGGGACTTTGTGAGTCTTATAAAGGGCCCCAACCCCTTCCCGGTTACACTTCCTCGCGGGTATCGCCCCCTCCTTCCGAGGCTTCCTGGGAGGCCCGACGCCTCCCTGGGGCTCTCACGAGTTCTCCAAAGCTTCCGAAATTGCCCAGGAAGGCCACCAAGGCCGCCAAGATGGCCGAAGGACAGCCCAGAGGCCCCAAGAGGCTTTCAAGACACCACCAAGACGCGAGTATCACTCCTCTTGCCGTCGAAGGCCCTCAAGGACCACTGAGAGCCCCAAGAGGGCCCCTAATGGCCCAAGACTGCCCAAAGAGAGCCCCAAGCTAATTAGCCAAAGGAGGCTTCCAGAGAGGCCCGAGACAGCCTCAAACACCCCAATACAGCCAAAGAGAGCCCCAACACGGCCCCACGAAAGCTCCGAGAGATGTCCTGGACGCCAAACTGGCCCCCAAGCCAGCCCAAAAGAGCCCGGAGACGGCAAAAGAAGGGCCCAAGACGACCGAAGACGGCACCACGGGAACTCCAAGACTGCCCTACAAGAGCCGAATACAGCCCCACAACGGCGCCCAGCATCCCGATGAGACCTCCTCAAGGCGTGGAGACGAAAGGTGTGACATGTGACGGCCTTCGGGGCTGTGCTCGAAGGGTCGCCACACAGAATGCATCGCTGGCACGTGGGCGGATTTGCCGCAGGCACCCAGATGAGTGCTGGACGTCGCAAGCTAGGAACAGAACGCGCCGCAAATGAGGGAGCAATGTCTGAGAGATCCACCTCATGGCAGAAGCCATTGGGCTCCGAACGCTGCAGCTGAGGCAATGCAGCTCAACCCACTTTTCGTAAGTCCACGGGCGCCGGGTGGTCAAGGACAGCCAGACGCCGGTCAGCAGGCGGTGGCATGCACGGGGAGCGAAATCAGACGGTAGGACGCACCGGGAGCGAACTAGTAACTGGTGAACAAAAGCAAGAGAAACAGGGCGCGAGGGAGAGACAGAAAGGAGCCTGCTCAGACTATGAAGGCCGGCGCGGTTTGCTGCGGAAGAACTTGCAAGCGGGCTGCGAAGCAGCGGAGGCCGGGGCCGTCTTGGTGAGATTTACCTTGACGAGGTGGACCTGGATGAGGTTCAACCCACACTGGAGGCTCATGCGTCTCCTCGTTGGTTCCACGCTGGCACCGGGAAATCCACAACGTGCGAGCTGCTGTCGCGACAATGCGGGGCATCGGCTGCCAGAATGTCAGGGGGGGCGCGGGCGGATACAGCGGCATGTGCAACCATGAGCTGCGTAAGTAGGTTTAGCGCTGATGGCGGCGTCCGAGCTGGCAGCACCTGTCGAAATAGACTGTCCTAGGCCCTGAGAGGGACCCAAGAGAGGAGGAATACGAGTTGACACGTCGATCCTTTTCTCCCAAGATGGCCCCCAAGAGGCCTCAAGATGTCCCCACGAAACCCCCCAGAAGCCCCAAAGGGGCCCTCAAGAAGCCCCGAAAAGCTCCCCGGATGCTCCCAAGAGGCCTCCGAGAGGCCCAACCAATTGGGGCCGGCGGAATGGCGTAAGCCACTGGAACCCACGTCTGGAAGTGACGTGTTGCCAGATGCAGGTCCGCGGATGCTGTAATGCAACGTATCCCAGATTTCCACATATTGCAGAATTGCTCCGTATATTGTCGCGGAGCGGAAGCCCTAATGCAACGTATCCGATGTATCCAATGATTGCACATTTGCAATGTATCCTACTATAGCATGCTGGTACGTATTGAACTATGTTGCATTATTGTGTCTCCCCCCCTGCCCCCCCCCAGAGCCGCGCCACAGCGCCGTACCAAATGTGGAGGCCTTCACTCTGGGGCCTCAAACCTACAAAAACCAATGGAAAATAAACAAATGCTGGCTCTTGGGCCTCTCTCTTAGTACTCCAAGAGGGCCTCAAGATGGCCCGAGATGGTCCCAAGATGGCCCAAGACGGCCCCAAAACGGCCCAAGATGGCCCCAAGAGGGCCCATCAGGCCCCCAAGATGGCACAACAGGCCCCAAGAGGATCCCCAAGAGCGCCTCCAGAGGCCAAAATCATTGATTTTCCCCTGGTGTTTGAAAGACTTCAGCGTTCTCGCCTGTTCGGCTCTCAGAGGACCATGACGGCCCAAGCAGCCTCCAAGAAGACCCCAAGACGGCCCAAGAGGCCCCCAAGAGAGTCCCAAGAGGGCCCCGAGACGGCCAAAAGAGGCATCCAAGACGGTCCAAGGGGCCCCAAGACGGTCCAAGGGGCCCCCAAGAGAGCCCCAAGGCGGCCGCGAGAGGCCTCCGAGATGGCCTCCGAAGGGGCCAGACGGCGCAAGAGCGCCCCAAGACGGCGTAAGACGTCCCCAAGAAGCCCCAAGAGGCCCCAAAGCGGCCCCAAAGACGCCCCAAGAGGCCCCCAAGAGGCTTCCAAGAGGCTCCCAAGAGCCCCCCAGGAGGCCGCCCAGAAGCCCCAGGCCTCAAGACGGGACAAGACGGCCCCAAGACGGCCCAAATTGGCCCCAAGATGGCCCCAAGAGGGCCCATGAGGTCCCCAAGACGCTCCAACAGGCTCCAAGAGGATCCCCAAGAACGCCTCCAGAGGCCAAAATCATTGATGGTCCGTTGGTTCTTGATTGATTTCAATGTTCTCCTCTTTTTCAGCTCCAAGACGGCCCATGAGAAACTCAAGAGAGCCGCAAGGCGGCCGCGAGAGGCCTCCAAGATGGCCTCCGAGGAGGCCAGACGACGCAAGAGCGCCCCAAAACGGCCCAAGACGTCCCCAAGAGACCCCAAGAGGCCCCGAAGAGGCCCCAAAGAGGCCCCAAGAAGCCCCCAAGAGGCTTCCAAGAGGCCCCCGAGAGGCTGCCACGAGGCCCCATAACGACTGGACTGTACGTGCTCCGGACGTGCACCCCGCGAAGCGAGAGGAATCTACTGCTCTAGGTCGGAGCGGTAGCCAGGTGAAGCTCCCGCGTTTGAGTCGTGAGCCTCCTCAGCACTTCGGGCATCAGTAAGCGTCGCCCCGACGGTTGTGACGTTTATCGAACTCTTGTGGAATCCTGGTGCACTGATTGGTGCCCCGTGCTCTTGTTGGAACCTCGTGCTCTTGATGGTGGCCTGAACTCCGATTGGTGGCTTGTCTACTGGTTCGCCTGATCCAGTAGGTGCAGCGTTGACTGCAATGGATGTACAACGCAGGGGTCAGCATGCTGATCGGCGTGGGAGTCGGAGCAGATGACGGGCAGCAGAAAATGCCAGATTGGCTGCTGCTATTGCCTATGGCGTCTGCGTCGGATGCGTGGCCTGGGCATCAGCAGCGTGGGCATCGTCAGAAAGGTCGGCAGTAGTGGGTAAACTGAAGATTCCAGGGAAACCATAGGTGTGGATGGTGATGCCGTAGGGTCGTGCGTGCTCATAATCTCGACAGACTCTCGGGGACGACAACAACAACAACAACAACAACAACAACAACAACAACAACAACAACAACAACAACAACAACAACAACAACAACAACAACAACAACAACAAAAACATGATTTGAAACATTCGACATGCACCATGTTTTCTTTGTGCTGGTGGATGCAACCACCGCTGATGATGCGCCGCGTTAGCTTCCAGGCAGGCGTCGTGCAGGTTCTGCATAGCGTAGTGTGGAAAACGGCTGGGGTCCAAAACGCCTCGGCCGACAGCGTGTAGGTGACGGCGACGGAGGAAGCCAGTGGTGTACCTCCAAATCGTTGTGGCCTACTAACATTCTCGATAAGCTCAGCAAGTAACATGCGCAACATCTGGGTAAAAGTGGCGTGAGCCTCGGGCGCATGGCAGCTGAGACATGCGGACGCGACTTAGTGCCACAGTATGGAGAATTCGTGGCTGGTCACGCGCAGGCCAGCGGCATGAACGCCAGCACTGTCGCGGCACGTGACAGCTTGGGGAACTAATGGAAGTATAGCATCGAAGGTACACTGAGCAATCAGCTCTTGAGCCAAAACGGCTACGGATGAGGGGGGGAGGCAGAAGGCACGAGGGAGGAGAAAAGACGCAAGAGTGACAATGGAGAAGGGAGAACGAGGTATCCAGGTGTCTCGGATACATTATAGGGTTCGCGACGCTGTCGGAATATTTCTGGGTGGGGCTCTGCAGGTTCCCTGAACAGGAGGAGGAGGAGGAGGAGAAGAAGGAAAATAAGAAGAATAAGAAGAAGAAGAAGAAGCAGTGGCAGCGCAATGAGCAGAAGGAGTGGAGGCATGCAGGGATCCCGTGGTGGCAATTACATAGCCCTGCTGCCCGAATGGGTTATGGAGCACATCCCGCGGAGCCGAGAAACGTTCGGTCGCTGGCTGATCGTACAGAAGTCAAAATTCTTGCCATAGTCGCAATCGCAGCGGCTACAACACCGATAGCAAGGCGATCGAAAACTAGATCGATAATCCTGAGATCGGCGATGACCGCAGATGGGATCAACGACCGTGCAATGAGTGAAGCCCGAGGGAGTTCTTGCCTTGCGTTTCTCGCGATGCGCCCGCTCTATGCTGCTTCGTTGGCGAGGCTTCTTGTTCCTCTGGAGGCTGCGCTGCCCAGGCGGGCGGGTGGTGCCCGCGCGCGGGTTGCCCCGGCGAGGGTGCCGCCGCGAGCTTCGCTGGGGGGGCGCGCGGGCGCGGGCCGGAGTGGCAGGGAAAGTGGCGAGCCTGAGGACGCGAAGCTATTCCCGGAGGGGCAGCTCCCCAGGGCGGGTACCCGCCGCGGCGAGGGCGGAGCCGCGCAGGGCCGCGGCTTCCTCGCGCTTTTCTTCTGCGCTGCGTGGGCCGAGCGCAGGGCGGCAGCGCGGCGGCCCCCCCCCCTCCTCGGGAGGGGGCGCCTCGGGGCCCTTCGGAGGGCACGCACCTGGCCGCAGCACGTCGGGAGGCTCGAGGACGAAAGGGGACAGGCCTCGGTGCCGAAAGGTCGTGCCGAAACGGGGCCCGCACTTCAGTGAGCAGAGCACGCAGGAGGGGCCAAGATCGAAGAAGGGAAGACCCCATGAACATAAACATGACGTGTGTCCTTGTCAAAAGAGAAAAGAACGAGCAGGCGCGAGGAGGGGGAGCAGGGCCATGACGCGGAGGCGGCGGAGGCGGAGGAGGACGCCACCGACAGCCGAGAGGAGCAGAAGCGTGCCGGCGAGGACAGGTCGGCGACGGCGACGGCCGCGACGGCCCCGACGCCGACGCCCACGTCGAGGGCCAGGCCTGCGTCGACGGCGGCGAGAGGGACGACCCTGTCATGCCCCGATTCCTACGACCGCGGCCTGCCCCGACGCTGAGGTGCAACGATAGGGGGGGACTGGCACAGGGGGGTACGCATCGACCTGGAATCGGCGAGACATCGCCGATAGATGGGCGATAGGCCCCCGATAACTTAGTGAATCCGCACCTTCCTGGGCGGGTTGGGGCTATCAGACCCCTATCGGCGATCACTGGGCGATTAGGGGTCGATGCATCCCCCCCATATGCCTATCCCCCCCTATCCTTGCCCCTGAGATGCCTCAGGCACCGCTCGTCCCACGAGCCGGTCCAGGAGGCCGCGGCGGGCTGCCTGGCACTGCGCGTCCATCTTCTTGCGCGTGCGGCGTATCATGCGGCGCAGCTCCTCCAGGTCGTCCTCGGCCTCGATCTGGAGCGCGTCCTGCGCGGCGTCTCGTGCCGCACCCCTCCTCTCAGCCCGAGCGCCGCGCTCTGGGCAGGAAGAGAGAGGAGCGGGGTGGCTGGCAGAGGGCCGTCCCTCTCCCATGCACCCTGGCCTTCTTCGGTCCAAAACGCATGCTTTTCCTGGGCGAAGGCCGATGAGGAGAAGGCTCAGGAACAGAGCCTTCTCCTCATCGGCCAAAAGCAGCGCAGCAATGCCAACGAAACGAATCGACGGAGCGCGGAGCAGAGCAAAGCAGACGGGTGCAAAGCAAAGCGAGGCACGCACAGCACAAGCAGAGCTCTGAGTACAGCAGAACAAAAACATAGATGAGCAAAGAGCAAAAAGTAGAGCAGAACGAAATGCAAAACAGCACGGGGACTGGCATGCATATCCGTGTGCTTCCGCTGCAGCTAGCGCCAGAACGAACGAACGAACGAACGAACCTCACATGATGTCGGAGCCCTCGGCTGACCACCGTCCTGCTCATTCCCCCAGGTCCACCGTATCGTTCTGGTCCTTCTGATCCTCCTCCTGCTCCTCCTCCTCCTCCTCCTCCTCCTCCTCCTCCTCCTCCTCCTCATCCTCATCCTCCTCCTCCTCCTCCCGCTCTTTCACATCGTCCGTTTTATCCCTGTCATCCTCGTTCAATCTCTTCACGACATCACCATCGTAGGCGTTGCCTCGTCCCTCCTTCCGCCATGATTCTGCATGTGTTTTGTTCAATTGCCCCACTCCCGCACCCTACCTGACTGAAAACGCCCCCCTCTCTCCAAGCCTAGCTTTCCCTCCCCACCCTCGATGTTCCATATCCTTACAATGTAGATCGGCCATTCCTCTTATTCAACGCCTTGTCATCGACTTTTCCCTCTAAACGCAATGCTCTTTTGTACCACGTTCATCCACCCAAATCCCCCTCCTCACATGAGCAAACGGCGAGCTCCGAAAGCAGGTTGTTGTAGTCCACAGGATTCACTGGGGCATCCTCGCAGGTGGGAGATATACACGCCGAAGCACGAATTGAATGAAAGGCGGATGACCCGAAAATACCAGATTGCTGGGATAGGCGAAGAAAAACTTGGTGAACAGGGAAAGGCGGCCATACCACAGATCAGTTGAACGAAAAAGATGACAGCCTGGTTCGCACCACAACCTTCTTCCTGAATTCACGCACACTCACAGCCTGCAGCTTTGAGTCCCCCGCGTAGTCACGATGCTGTTCCTTTTGCGTGGCCAAGATGAATCAAAGCTCGCGACGGGGACCCCGAAACACCAGCTATCGCTGGAACGGGGCAGCAACAAAACATGCGACCAAGTCATCATCAACAAATCGTTATTTGTGAGGAGGCCACACGCAAAAACCTTGATGTGCCACGTTTGAACCCTGGCACGCATAATTGGTGCGGGGACGTCCCACGTGATTCGTTTGCTAGAACACCGCTTGCACCCAGATGCAAAACGCTCCTGACCAGAAAATGGCCCCAAGAGGGCCCAAGATGACCGAAGCAGGCCCCCAAGATGGCCCCAGGACGGCCCAAGAAGCACCCAAGACGACCCGAGAGGGCCCCAAGACGGGCTCCAGCAAACCAGCACGGCTGACTGGCACGACAGACTGTGTATAATCACCCACACACACCCCTCCTCGCGGCCACCACTAAGCCCCGCGACGCCCAAACTTTCTACGCGCTCCGGACATGTACCTCATGAACGAAGCGAAATGAATGTATGACCAGAATGCGACGCAGGAGCAGGCCAAGGAGCTGATATGGGGGCGTAACCTCCTCAACCATCTAGCAAAATCGGACTGAAAGAGAGAGAGAGAGAGAGAGAGAAAAAAAAAAAAAGAGAGAGAGAGAGAGAGAGAGAGAAAACCTGCTGGCGGTGCTGCGGCGGCTGCAGCCGTCGCCAGATGGCTGCTGTGCGCCTTGCAGCAGTCACAGCAGCGGCCGCGACTGACGCCGTGTGAGTCGTCGCCGGCGCTGTCCTGCCCCCCTCCTTCCCACCCTCGGGGTGAGGGCGACGAACGGGACGCCTGGCAGGGGGTCGGATGGACGGGCTCCGTTCGGGCGGCTTGCACTACCCGAAATGACATCGCTACGGGCCCCTGGCGTCCAAGCGACATCGTGGCAGCCCCCCTCCCATGGCCATCGCCGCCTTCGCCCCAGCGCTCCCGCGCCTGCCGCACCCGCCGCAGCCGCCAGCAGCTGCCGCGCTGCTCCCAGCACGCCCGCGTCCGCCGCCCCCTCCCCCGCTGCTGCTCAGTCGGCGCCGCCCGACAACCGCCCCCCGCCTCCGTTACCCGCCCTCTGCCTGCTTCTCTGCCTGCTTGCCGCTGTTGCTGCCCCCGCCCTCTTCCCCCCCCTCCCCCTACACCAAAGGTCGGGGGGGGGGGGGGGGGCAAGAGCGACGGTGAGCAGGGTAGACGCGACAGCGGCAGCAAGAGCCGAGGCGGCCCCGCAAGAGGACCAAGCCGGCTGCCGCGTCCTCCAACGCGAGCTCTCGGCCTCGGTAGGTAGGAGTACGAGGAGGAGGAGAAGGAGGAGGAGGACGAGGAGGAGGAGAAGGAGGAGGAAGAGTTCAAGAGAGAAGAAACAGGAGGATAGAGGGAGCGTGGGGGGCGGGGGAAGGAGGCCTCAGAAGTCTCTGGCACGAGGGAGCAGGGGAGGGATTACGAGGTGGATGAAAGAGGCAAAAAGATGAGATCTCCGGAAGAGGAGGACAAAGTGCTGTAGCAGAAGCAGCCTGCATACTCTCTTCTGTGTCACGGCGGCTCGACTCTGTCCATATCTTAAACGACCCCCCATCCCCCCCCCCCAAAAAAAAGGCGTACACAGAAATCAGCGAGGCAGAACAATTATTGGTGGCCGTGGTTCCGTTGTTTGATCGATCGTGACCGCACTAAGCACTGGTGCCGTCCAGGTGGTGTACGTGTTCCTCGTCCATCGGTTCTTCTCCCCCCAATCGGGGGCAGAGACACACGCATGCACACACACACACAAAGAGACAAACCAACAAACAAGTAACCACACACACACACAAACACTTTCTAAGTCGGCGGCGCAGAGGATCCTCAGGCGCGGACGGCAGATTGAAGTGCCACACACACAGACAGACAAACACACACACACACACACATACACGTCCCCGTTAGCGGCCGGATGAGACACCGATCGAGCGGTTCAGATGCATCGCTCAATGCAGCTGGCGGCGTTCAAAGCACTGAGACTTGAGAAGCCCACCTTGTCGCCCGGGACAAGGTACGAGCCGAGTCCAGCATAATCTTGGATGTTGCGATCGCGGGAAATTACATGGCGAAGGCAGGCAGCTCACAACGATCCCAAAGTAAGGCAAGCGTTACGTGGGAGCAGCCACGACCTCAGGCCCAGCACAGACTCTGCCGCAGCGGGGGGGGGGAGTGGAGCGTCCGGCACCGAGCAGCTCAGCCGGAGGACGCCAGCGGAGGGCACCACATGGATGCACTGTAAACAGTAAGACGATAAACGGTAAGGAAGTCAGCCAGGGAAGGAGAAAGAGGAAGGAGGCCAGCTATGGGAAGCTGTTTGGGAACTGGGAACTTGCTGGCAACCAACGCCGTGGCTTTGAGACAAGGCCGCTGGGGACGAAGCAGACGGGAACTCTCTGCCAGAGCTGTCACTGCAGAGGACCGTGCAAGTCAAGAAGGCCAAAAAAATCGGGCGCGGCCTAACCGACCCCTGATGTGACGAGCATTTTCCGTGACGTCCCCCGCGCCCTCCAAGCCTCCCTCCGGCCGCATACGTACGTCTTAGGGTGAAGCAATGGGGGACGCCACAAAGGGGATGGTTTGATATGGGTCGGTTAGGCGGCCCTTGAAAGAATGGAGCAGGAGCGCTAGTACGGCCATCCAACCTCATGGCGGCCACGTGCATAAGGCTGTCCCAGGTGCGCGGGGACGCCAGGGAGCGAGCTCAAAAAAACTGCCGAGGAACCTCAGCCCTCCTCAAGAGTCGCCGCGGGGGAAGGCCTGCAGCAGGGATCGCAGGGGAGCTGGCTGAAGAGTCGAAGCTGACGTGCTGCCCAGCGTCGTCGCGCTCGTCGCGCTGAGAGCTCTCGCGCGTGCAATCCTTTGGCCGTCGCCGCCAGTGCTGCGCACGGCCCCTGCAAGGGCATCGCAGCCCTACAACTGAAGCTGACATACATTGGAGACTCGAAGGATAGGGCAGCAGGAAATCGGGGATAACTGGAAAAGCCGGACGCAGAGCTAACGGCTCCTGAGGTGCCGGTCTGCATGAAGGCCCCCCCACACACACAAACACATTTTTTTGGTCGGCGGGTCGAGAGCGGGCCTCTTCCGGTTAAGAGCTAAACGGGACGCGCGAAGCCTTAATTGGGGAGACTGGGCGCGGGCGGGGGGGGCCTTAGGCGGCCGGCCGGAGGGTGCGGAGTACAGGCGGTGCCGAAGAGCTTGCACAGGGAAAGGTACGCCTTGGACAGGAGCCGGTGGCGAAGTCCTGGAGGGAGAGCGAAGTGGTACACACACACACACACACATACACACGCACGCACGCACGCACGCACGCACGCACGCACGCACACGCGCACGCACACTCTGGGTGGTCGCGGCCTCGCGCGCGGCGACGAGGCGGAGAGAGTCGAAGCGGCGGGAGCGGGCGCGCGCGACAGGGCCCTGAGCGGGATAGCACACACACACACACACACACACAAACACACAAACACACAATAACACACGCACACACACAAACACAAACACAAACACGCACACGCACGCACGCACGCACGCACGCACGCACGCACGCACGCACACACACACACACACAGAGACACACGCACATACACACACACACACACACACACACACACACACGCACACACACACACACAGAGACACAGACACTTTTGAGTCAGCAGCGCAGAGGGTCCTCAGGCGCGGGCAGCACATGGAAGTGCTAATTGCGATCGAGCAAGGTCGAAAGCGCAGTGGAGGAAACGTCCATCACTGACCTAGTCCTAGTCCTAGTCCTAGTCCTAGTCCTAGTCCTAGACCTAGTCCTAGTCCTAGTCCATCACTGACCTGGTCATAGTCCTAGTCCTCGTCCTCGTCCTCGCCCTCGTCCTCGTCCTCGTCCTCGTCCTGGC